TGTTAAAACCATACAATTATGTTATAAAATTCTTAAAACGGAAAGGGCAACATTAGGTCAAGTAGCTGCATCATGGGCATGGCTTCGTGGAGTTATTAACAAGAGTTCACTTACTAATAATGATTTTAAAGATTCTCTAATAATTAAATCGATAATCGTTGGCAAAAAATCTCTAATCTAATTTTTTTAATTATCTGGTTTCTTCATCTATATCATCACAGTAAAGGATTAAATTTGATATGGCATTTATATGTTCAAGAAGCCACATATGGTCTGTTTTACACTTTTTACCCAGATCATAATCAAGACCAGTTTATTGATGAATGGTTAAATTACTCAAGTCAAGAGAGACCATTTTCTGCATCATCTGTTAAAAATCCAAGTTTTACAAAATTTTCACTAAGATACTGGCATATTATGCTAAATGCAGCTCCAAATTTAAGTAAATTTGCATGTTGTCTTTTATCCATTCCACCTAATTTTGCAACTTTTGAATGGGTATGGTCTTTATTAGGTAATATACATATGGAACATCATAACAGGTTATCACCAGTACAGGCTGCAAAGATGGTACAAGTCTCTTGGTATATAAGTTAAAATTCAAAACAAAATAAAAAAAATCTCAATCTTCTGAAAAAACATCAAATGAAATAGAGAGTAATATTTTAGATAATGATGACTATATTGATAATAGTGATGATATAGACGAATTTATGGTAAATTTAAATCAAATTTCTGAAAAAATAATAAATGATATTCATGTACTTGACGTAAATAGTGAGAAAATTATTCCAGCACTTAAAGATGTATTTGATTCTAAGGCTGTTAAAAAATCATTAAATTTTTACATTAATCAATCGTATGTATAAATTTAAAGTTACTTTAATCTTTAAATGTTATTATTAATCCATCGGGTTATACTTTAAGTGCGTACTTTATTCTTGGTAAAAAAAATTAAAAAAAGGGTTATTAAATAGTTTATACAAATGTTCTCACGAATACTCTATATTTGCAAAAAATTCACTTCAACAACATTTTGAAGGAATTTAATTTAGGTCAGTAAGTTTTGAAAATTGAACAGGTTCGTAAAAATTTTGTTTTTGTACAATTAATTGAATTTAAGCATATTTTATTGCGACTTAAATTCCTATTAATGAGTGTGCTATAATTGTCGTTTACTAATCTGGCAATTAAATTCTAATAAAACTTACACTTATTACTAAAAGCTAAAATATAAATATGTGTATTCATATATAATTAATAAAAAATTCATCGCTTCGCAAAAAAAAAATGCTGTCTCCTGCAACTATAGTTTTAATATCCTTATTTTAATAAAATGCCATTTAATACATGGTATAAGGATGTATCCAAGCGTTAGTTTAAAAAAAATATATGGAAATATTGGCATATTTCATACGCTTGTGCGGTACTAATACTAAATAGCTGCGCCATTGCTGCATTATGCTGCGCCATACATTATTAAGTAGTTTTTAGTTAATAACTCATGCATGAAGTTAATAATTATTATTAATTATTAATAATGCAGAAGGTCCCATCACTACCTGGAACACAATCAAGAATCGCGATTGTTATGCAGAGTGATATCACTTTTCCGGAATTTTAAGTACATACGTACGTTTTAGTACACATTATGTATGCACATGTGTTGTATACACCAGCTTGTGATAATGTTAAAGAAATGGAAATTTGATATATATTTTTAGAAACAATTGACAAATTCTTCGCTATCGCTACACATGGTCTTCGTTTTAGTCTTTGATGATCAGCGATTATTAATACATCATGCCGGCAAGAAATTCGAAGAAAAAATCCAAAATATTTTAACATAGAAACACATATATATCAATCCTGGTTGAAATCAGCATAAGACGTTAAATGATGCTTTTTTACCTATTGAATAATATATTTTTTTTTTAGAAAGTATTTTTTTTTTTCGGTAGCTAGTAGCTATAGCTATAGCTAGTGGCTATAGCAATGTAGTATATTAAAAAATGATGGATAAGAATTTCCCCTTCTGGGGGATGGCTAAAGCAAGGTGCGTTAGAGTTACTTTTTTGATGCAGTTAGCGTTACTTTTTTGATGCAGTAATGGTGAGTGGTTTATATAAGTATCAATAAGATAATTTGTGCAGCATGTAGATCATTTCCAAATT